ATTCTTATGAAAAATGATGTCCTACTAATTTAGCAATTATTGTTAAGAAACAAGTAAATCATATTCATCTAACAAAGTTTAAACACACCACACAAGCTAGTTTCTATCTACACACCACACGAGCTAGTTTCTATCTAAATGACTGAAATGTGTATAAAAATATTGCCCTACCCCATCCATTTTTAACACTTGTTTGACCATTTTCCATTTCAAATATTTTTAAAATCTAATTTAAAATACTTTCATCATGTATTAGATTTTGAAAATAACAGCTACCAAATTGTTTATATCAACTATAGTATTAGGCCTACTTGTATTTAGCACAATAAAAAATACCTAAAATAATTATATAATTCAAGCCGTACACTTTTTTCCTTCTTAAAAAGAATAAACTTGCACCCATGTATCATCTTAATGGGGGGGGGGGGGGAATGATCACTTTTTTTAACAACATTTCTTAAACGAAAAGCAGTGTTTGGGGTCTAAATAGGGCATTTTTTTCACTGTTTGAGGCTTCAAAAAAGGGAGGGGGGGAGAGTCGAAAAGCCATCAAAACACGTCTATATGAGGTAACAGGTTAAGGGCACAACATGTCTGGGATCCGTACTCAACAATGCTTTCGGTGCATTAACAGGCGGATGGCCCCTTATCAAGCATAGCCAGCAAACATAGCTCAATCAGTTAGTGACAGTCTGAGACTTGGATTCTTCACATTGTTGGTTCGATTCCTAGGCTGACCAACTAAAATTACTAAAAAGGTTTTTCTGATGAGACTAAGCAAGGTCCCGTGTAGAAGTGCTTTAACACTTTGCATGCTAAAGAACCATGACAAGGATCTGGAATTGGGGCATGTTTCTGTATCTTGCACTGTTCTGCAAAATCTTAAATGACTAATACCCGTTCGGAGGTCTTATAAACGAACTTAAATCATTAAGCGCAGAACACCTTCTCACACCCTGGTGTGTGCATGTCCCTGAGAAAGGCAAATCGCAGGTGATTGAAGAGCCAATGCAACATCAAACATGTAAGATGACAATTTTGTATGTTTTCTACAACTCTGGGTTAGGTGTAAGGCAGGCTGCCTTACCAGCAGAACTGAGTGTGCTTGAAGATAGCTGCAGATGTCCTGAGTAGGGCCTAGGAAAGTTGCATGAGTCCCTAGCACTAAAACAGCTTAAACAGAAACCCTTGCTTGGCATCAACAGACCTTTTATGGGCTACCTCATTTTGATATTGACTCAGCTTACTGTATCTTGTACTACATACAGATAAATCATAGAGGCATCCCCCATGTCCCACAAATCCGAGTTAACTCAGCACTAAAACTAACTTGGCCTCCCGAGTCATCTTGGTCATACACCAACTCGGAATGGCTCAACTCAGCCCATAATTATACATTACTTATTATTTTTTATATATCCTGTTATCTTGTATTCAGTATTCTCAAGAGGTTAAGGTTGGATTATATTTGTAAGTTATTTGTTACAGTATGTTTAAGCCCGATACACAGGGAAATACCTTTTTAAGACAATATAAAGGAAGAAAGATCGTAACTGTAAGCAAAACAAAATATATTTCTGCTTGTATAATACTGACCTTGACCTCTATGTGAACCAGGTGCTTTTTCGTATTATTGTGGAATCTGATTGGTTGTTAAGGCTGGTTGCTATGTGATTTTATTCTACACACCAGTTCAAATAATTAGTGTCACTCCTAATTAAGTTTTAAATGGCTTAGCTTTGTAATTTTTTGTGTTTTAATAACAGTTTGGTAGGCCATAATCAAGCTTTTAGGATCATATTGATGCCTCTTTGGTACCAAATGATTTGGTTTCTTCTAAAAATAGTTTGAACTTACTCAATTTAGTGTTGTTATTTACATAATCCCTCTAACATATATTAAGTTTACATTTACTTATTCGTTTAAGCATTGATTGCAGCTGTCAAAAATAAAAAGTGATAAGGATAAACAATGTTTCATTATTGGTTTTTAATTGGAGTTCATGTTTCTTCACATTTTGACCTGTATTGCACATGACCGTCATTTGAAGCGCCTTGTGTCAGAGACCCGCTACAGGTTTTGCAACATTGAAAGAAAAAATAGAAAATTAATGATTTGTGGGGGGGAACTGAATAAATTTATGTTTTTTTCCTCTGGATTTTTTTATTATTTCCACAGTTATTTTGGTTTTTATCTGCTTTTGTTGACAAGTTTTCAGATATTGATGGAAGTCGCGAACGTCGCTTCCATCCGTTTTAATAAATCACCAATAAACACTTTCCCCAACTAGCAGACGACATGCTATTCTTATCAGTAGGTTTTCGAGTAAAGATATCCGGTTGCGTATCTCACTGTATAAATCGTATGTAAAATGGTCTGACATATGGTAGGTTTAACAGTTAATTTAAATACTTTGGTGACAAAAAAATATGTAAAATTATATACTGTGACAAAGCTAAGATCCCAAGCTTTCCATTGATGTAATATTTTTTAAAATCGAACATTTAATCACAACAAACTAGCGGTTTAAAAATGGCTTAATTTGTATTATTTTAGCATAAGAGATATCGATTTTACTCGAAGATAAGGGAAACAACTCGTATTTTTTCACTCAATATACCTCGGTTAATTACGTAGTTCATATGAAAAGTGTTTATGGGTGTATTCCACGATAATGCAAGAAACCCAGAGAATACGTGAAATAGGGATATATTTTCATAATGTCTTTCATTGTTTTATCTTATTTGATTAACGCTATGTTATGTTATTTTCTGTTTTGTATTAAATCAAGTGTGAAAATCAAATAGTTAATAGTTATACCAGACCAATGGCTAGTGACTGTCATCCAATTAGACAGTCAATTAATGAATTATCATGATTTATCTATGATAAACACAGGTGTTAATTGTAGACGACAGGTGATATTCAACTTAATGGGATTAAAAAGTTAATATACATTATGACGTTACCCGTCGTTAATTTACGTTCTGTTCAAACTTAATAAATTTCAAACAATACGATAAGCTGCAGACTTTTTCAATTTCTATTTGTTTTAACAGTGATCGTACTTCTTATAACTTGTATTAAGCCATTAAGAAGTTAATTAACTGAACAATCTATAGAGGGCCGAATTGACCCGTGCCGAGTTGGTATAGGGCCGAGTTGACCCTTTCCATGTCAGGAGTCCAAATTGGTCCTATACATTTCACATATTTTATTTTATTAAAAAATTTCCAGACAGTTTTTTCGTGTACATATTTGTAATTTACTAAACCACGGTATCGCTCAACTGAAGGGAAAATTTACTTTGATTTTAGCAATTCCTCAGGATCATATTTTTGATATTTGATTTGTTTATCCCGCCATGTTTACTTCCGGTAGTCGTCTCTAAAATCTATTCAGTACCGGATAAAAATTGCGCAGGAAGGATAAAATTAAGATGATTCTCATTGTACAATACAAGAAAAGTAGTTAAATGTATGGCAAATTTAAGGAACATGATATATAATGCTTACATAGAAATAATCGTTTTAATGCAGAAAAAAAATCAGCAAACCTCCTTGGACTACTTCTATTAATGCACAAATTCATTGTTTTATTGTAATATAAATCCGTGGTAATAATTTAATTGTAGTGTTACCGATGTTTTAGATGAAACTTGCATTTTTTTTGCTGAATTGATATTAAAAACCATTGGTACCACCGGTGACAATTTACTCTGAACATATTTTATCAGACTATTTTTGTCATTGACAATATAATATACATTGGAAACGAAGACGAACCAATTAATGCTATCCGATGAATTTAAATCATAAATTTCATCGTTGTCAATTTTTTATTTTAATTTGTGTTGTAATTAATGAATTGATCCCGAATTAAATTGTTTATTTGCAATGCTGAACTTGTTTACGTGTTTTAAATGTGCAATGCATCATCAATTAAAATTCATTTATCATATCAACAGAAGAAGCTTAATAAAGCGAAACATATTTTGATAAACTGTGTTTCGTAAATAAGTAAGACTTGCCAATGCTACATGTACCTCTGCAAATTAATCTATTAATGATAAATTTTGTTCGTAAACTTTTGTACTGTTGTAAATTATTCCTACGTATGTCTACCAATGGTTTTATTCTGAATTACAAGTAAATTTCACTTGGTGCATATTTTTGTATGGCTTTTATTGTATTGTCTGATTCATGCGCAACTTTCTGTGCTCAACTATTATCTATTATTACTTTCACCGGGTCTTGTATTTTGATAAATGTTTAGTCAATATATGTATGTAAGTTTGTTACCATTAATATTTTTCCAACATTTTTTGGAGGTTCTAGCATGGTTGTTTCACCGAACGCCGAAATGGTCAATTCAACATAAATAGAGGATATTGAATGAGTGTAATAGCTTAGTAGGAACGAAGGCCTACGATGCATGTCAGGAAGGTTTTTTTTAAACCAGGCTTATTATGTTCTTGAATGTCTAAATTTGAAAAAAATCTATGTTCCCAGAAAACCAAGGGTTCCCACGTTGTCCAAATTCAAGATGGCCGCCAAGATGGCCGCCAAAAATTAAAGAAAATACCATTTTTGCTTAAAATACAAATACAACACTCTTTTTTCACCGTTTGAATTCATTTTTTTATCAAAATGATCGGAACCGCGTAGAATTTCGGATATATAAGCAAAGTTTCACTATAAAAAGCGTAACTTTTTGAAAAATGCCTTAAAATATGCCAAAAAGGGGGTAAAAACGTGTCTTTTTTGGCATCTGGCTGCTTCCAATTCGGCTCAGAAACTTATTTTACCTCTTATACTATATTTTTTCACATTTATTTACAGATATATGTTGACCAAGTACAAAGAAAAACATAAAGTTCAGATATGAAAGGAAATATGAATTTAAGGGACTCTCAATATAAGTCGGGTAATTACCTGAAAATACCCGAAAATTACCTGAATAATACATGATGTATATATAATAATTTATTTCTATATATATAAGAGTTTTATTATAACTACAAAACATGTATGTTGTCATTGTATTTCTCTTTTAGTATTGTCTCGATATAAAAGTAAGTCAAAGCCATTTTTATAGATGGAAGGTAGATTCACAAATTACGCAGTTACTCCCCTTTGATATAATTAAGCCATGAAATCATCTGAAAGTTTCCAATGTCATTGAAGAACACACGAAGTTTACCGACGAATTTGCACAGATTTTTAGAGTAGATTGTACCAGAAGGTATGAAACATTAAAAGCCCAGTATTTAATCTTTAATTCTCAAAGAATTTCTTATAATTTATTAATATAAAATGTCAGATTTTAATGTAGAAAGAAATGCACCAGAACTTCACATAAACAAAAGCTTTTGAGCGGTTGAAATGCTGCAAATTTGTAAAAATATTTGAGTATTAATGTTTATAGCTATGATGTATTATAAATAATCATTTTTTGTAAAAATATGGACATTCTCTAAGAGGATCCCTGTTTAATTTTCTTAAAAAACTTGAGTAGTAGTCGGATGCATACAATATCCGGATAATTTGTTTTTTTGCCCTCTTTAACAATCTGAAGGGGTTTGAAGACATATCATGTCAAGGTTTACATGTTTTTTTTTTTTTTTTAGGCAATGATTGAGGATAGCTATTCATACTGATAATTAATCTGACAAGTGGCTGTAGAGTCCCAATGCACCACCATGTTGACATGGTACGTGCCATAAATGCATTATAATTTATTCTCATCTGTTTAGAAGGTATGTTGTGTACCTTGTTATTTTTATTAAATTAGATTACCCCTAAACATTGATAATTATTATTAACAAGTATAAAATAATTGCATTTACAACATAGAAGTTATTTGAATATAACATATATAATCATTTATATTTATCAATGCATGTACATGTAGGTAATGATAAAACTATTTATGTGGGACATTTCATATTCTTTATATATTTTAATGTAACAGTATTTTAAATTGAATTTATACAAATATTTACTGTATAAAATATATTTGACATACTTGAAAACCATTCTGTCAGAATTACTTTATTTCAGACACTTCATTTGGCTTAGTCAGAATGGGACCTTAAATGAAGATGCATTATTGTACCGTATATGAAACAACACAAGAATGATCCAGAAGGTCTGTGTTTTTCAAATGTGTAATGTCAATAACTTTTTCTTTAACTGTACAAATATAAATATTGTAGGTTTCTTTTCCTGAGGTGTTAGTATTAGACTTATATAAAAGAATAAAAGATAATTTACATATTATTGCTATTTTATACCAAAATAAAACCCTAAATTCCTAATTTTTTTTTGCTTTTAGAAGTAAAACTACTCTGCACATACTCCACTACTGAGCCCTGCCTTACAGGCCTTGTTCCCAAGCTAATGCCAGCTGAGCTGTGGATACACCAGTAAGTTTGAACATAAAATGTGTAATTCAACCATTGGAAGTGCAGGGCTCACACTGGCTCAAATAAAATAATAGCCAATATTTTAAACTTAAAAAAATAATAGCCAAAAGTTCAGCGGACTATTCACGATTTAGCCATTAACAACATAAGCAGTTGATTAAATAAACATTCCATATAAAACTTTTTCAGTTTTATAAGGATTTTCAAATAAACTGATACATTTGTGTATATTGATAACTACCTTTTTTACATAGAACCACAACTTTGATTGCTATTATAGAACATGTTATATAGTAGAATTACCGTATAACAATAATATTAAAGATTCATTATAACTTTACATAATGCTGTTATCAGACAATTTCTTTTGTTTATTCTAATCAAATTTTGTCAGCTATAACCTCTGTCAATTTAGAGCTGGAGTAGATCTAGGTCATATTAGCCTATAGAAATAACACTTGCAAACTCATTCACAGAATGCAGCCTTTTTTCTGAATAACTTACTGAAAAATGTCATCATCATCAATGTAATACAAATTTTCTGCCATAATAGTTCAGATTTTTAAACAGAACATAGCTTATTTTCACCCTTAAATAAATATCAAAATTATCGGCGTCGCGAAAATATGTGACAATCGGATTTTTTCCTGTTTTCTGAAAAAATATTCACAATTTTGGTTGTTGTGCAATTAGTTATTTGGAAGTTAATACTTTTTGAATATTTTATCATTGTTTTCCACTGGCGATTTAGTCAAGCAGCTTAAAACAAAAAAATCAAAATTTGCAATTTACGGTAAATTTTGGGTTGGTCAATATCCAGTTTATCAATTTTAAGACGATTTTTGTGGCTAATTGACGGACACTTGATGGCTATTATAATGCTGGACAATATCTTTAAATTTCTTATACAATTTTACAGCTCGCATGTATTTTAATCACCTCGGGCAATATAGTAAGCAGCGCGTGACCGATTATAAGTTGACACTCAATTAAATCCACCCCGCTGGTGTTAATTGGGTCTACTGCATTGTTTATCGATTTTTACACCTTATATAGACACTGTTGGAAGTAAAAAATAATCGCCAGATTTTGTAGCCAAAATGCAAAAATAATCGCCAATCTTGTAAAATAATCGCAAATGGCGACTATGGCGACCGACAGCGTGAGCCCTGGAAGTGTGGGTTGGTTGATGTTGTCTCGCTCTCAGACAGTTTTAATAATTTATTAGAAATGTGAAAAATGTGCATTGAAATAAAATTCTTTATGCATTAAATTTGTAGAAATAATTGTTTTACCACGAAACAGGTGCAATTTAAGTCCACAATGCTAATTACTATACTTAACAGTGTCACAAAAACTAATTTAACTTTGTATTCAATGTATTCAATGATTAAAATACGTTTATTTTGGATTTTAATTTTGAATTTCCTAAGTAAAAAATAATTTTTGTTTTTTAGATATGTGGAATGCCTTCATCATCAATGACGTGTAGTGTTAAATATTAAACAAATGAGAAAATGTCCAATAGTAAAAAACGGAAGTACGACGAGCAGCTGAATATACCCACAGACTTTAGGTGCATTATTCACAACAGTGGACTTAGCAATCATGGTGACTGTGTAACACTAAATTCTACAAAATTAAAAGTCTCTGCTGAACAAAAACTAGATCAGCTGCACTCAATTCGCAACAAGCGATTAGCTGAACCATGTGACTCACCACATCGCATGCATGACATATGCAAGAGCATTCCTGCCTCATTATGTGGAATAGACCTGAACATCACTGGTTACCACCGTGGGTGCTACCAGGCCTTTACCAAAAACCTAGATAGGTTAAGTAAAGCAGAATGTACAAAACATTCTCAAAAACACCATTCACCAAGAATTTTTGCTAACTGTAGTAATCAGTTTCCACCAGAATGCATCTTCTGTAAAAAGTTGGAAGTGAAACCAAAGAAACATGCAAATACAGAGCGGTGTGTTCAATTCACAAACACAACATGGCAACAAATTGAGTCGCAGGCTTTTGAGGTGGGCGATTTTGCCTTATATCGATTAGTACAAGGTGAAGACCTGGTGGCCAGAGAGGCAATGTTTCATACTTCATGTCGGAAGGATTTTGAATTGAAAGTGTTTAACCTTTCTAAGCGCCAAAGTATGGGGGGTTCAGTTATATCAACTATAGTATTAGGCCTACTTGTATTTAGCACAATAAAAAATACCTAAAATAATTATATAATTCAAGCCGTACACTTTTTATGCCCCCGCCATGTAATGGCCGGGGCATATAGTGTTACCCTGTTCCGTCCTTCCGTCCTTCCGTCATTCCGTCCTTCCGTCATTCCGTCATTCCGTCATTCTGTCATTCCGTCATCATCAGTTTCCGTTCATTATCTAAGTAACGGTTGCACACATTCAACTCAAATTTGACATATAGATATGTCATGAAAAAATACAGGTCAAGTTCAAATTTGGTCATGGTTCGATGATTTTTGGCAGAGTTATGCCCCTTTTACTTTAAAATAATATGAAATTTTCAGTTTCCGTTCATTATCTCCCCAAAGGTACAACACATTCAACTCAAATTTGACATATGGATATGTCTTGAGAAAATACAGGTCAAGTTCGAATTTGGTCATGGTTCGATGATTTTTGGCAGAGTTATGCCCCTTTCACTTTGAAAATAATATGAAATTTTCAGTTTCCATTCATTATCTCCCCAACGGTACAACACATTCAACTCAAACTTGACATATGGATACATCAAAGGAATGCGCAGGTCAAGGTCCAAATTTGGTTGTGGTTCAATGATTTTTGGCAGAGTTATGCCCCTTTCACTTTGAAAATAATATGAAATTTTCAGTTTCTATTTATTATCTCCCCAACAGTGACAACACATTCAACTCAAATTTGACATATGGATACGTTTTGGAAATGCCCAGGCCAAGTTCGAATATGGTCATGGTTCAATGATTTTTGGCAGAGTAATGCCCCTTTAACTTGAAAAATAATTTGAAATTTACAGTTTCTGTTCATTATCTACCCAACAGTGTTACATATTCAACTGAAATTAGACATATATGGATATGTCAAAGGAAATGGGTAGGTCAATTTGGAATTTGGGTCATGGTTCGATGATTTTTTGGCAGAGTTATGTCCCTTTCCCACTTTGAAAAATAATATAGATACATCTTAGGAATAAGCAGTTTTAAGTTTGAATTTTGGTCGCGGTTAAATGATTTTGGAACAAACTTATCTTTCTTGAATGTTGGAAAAATTTTGAACTTTCAGTTTCAGCACTCATACTTTTGTGGAAATGTATGTAGCCATTATTTTGGCTACAAATATGAAATATGCTATTTTCAAAAGGTTAAGACTAAATAATTTCAGTGCTTTGAACATTGTATGAAAATGGTTTGTGTTAACATTGAAAAGTTTTAAGGGCTTTGAACTGCAAATGAAAAAAATAATTTGTGCAAACAAATTTGGAACTAAATATTATGAATGTCAGACATAATCCCCTTCGGACAAAATCCCCTTCGCCTATCCGGACAAAATCCCCTTCATGGGTGGACATAATCCCCTTCATGTTTTTGCAAGGCTGGACAAAATCCCCTTCACTACCCGGCCAAATCCCCTTGTTTCATAGGTCTAAATGATTATTATGCTCCATAGAAATTGATGAATAATGTTTACCTATACTCCCTAAAAATTGATGAATAATGAACTTTTGTTTTTTTTTATTTATAAATTATGTATCAATAGTTAACCTTTATTTAGTTTAGAAGTTTTCATTAAAGTTATGGTAAATTTATCAACTGCATAACACATAATTTGATTAGGCAAAATTTTTTAATAGTTTTAAATTGATTAGCTATAAAAAACAATTTTATTTTAGCCAATAATTGTTTCATTGATTTATAACTTGATAATTCTCTAATTGATAAATACTAATCCATTTTACAATTTCTATTGATGAAAGAGTGATAATTAATCAAACCCAAGATCACTGCACTACTTGATTATTGTTATGAATGCTAACAAAGAAACTTTAATGTGATTAAAATGTGCAATTGAATTGTGCTTTTCTGCTGAATAAGTAATTTCTACTTATTTTTTATACATTAAGATATTTACCCACAGCAATACTGCAGTATGTCGCTCCATACCCACTTTTATAAACCGAATTCCTCCGAGGGGATTTTGTCCTAGGTAGCAATTTTATGAAGGGGATTTTGTCTACCTCAAAAATTTCACAATGAAGGGGATTAGTCCACCCATGGAGGGGATTATGTCAGATATACAAAAATACATGAAGGGGATTTTGTCGAAGGGGATTATGTCCGTACACCAAAATATTATAACATCTGAAAATTTTGGCTGCATCGGGGGCAATCCGTGGCATGATGACACATTTCTAGTTTCCTTCTTAAAAAGAATTTTAAACTTGCACCCATGTATCATCTTAATGGGGGGGGGAAAATGATCACTTTTTTTTTAACGAAACATTTCTTAAAACGAAAAGCAGTGTTTGGGGTTAAATAGGGCATTTTTTTCACTTTTGAGGCTTCAAAAAAGGGAGGGGGGGAGGTCGAAAAGCCATCAAAACACGTCTATATAGGAAACAGGTTAAGGGCACAACATGTCTGGGATCCGAAACTCAACAATGCTTTCGGTGCATAACAGGCGGATGGCCCTTATCAAGCATAGCCAGCAAAACATAAGCTCAATCAGTTAGTGACAGTCTGAGACTTGGATTCTTTCACATTGTTGGTTCGATTCCTAGGCTGACCCAACTAAAATTTTACTAAAAAGGTTTTTCTGATGAGACTAAGCAAGGTCCCGTGTAGAAGTGCTTTAAACACTTTGCAATGCTAAAGAACCATGACAAGGATCCTGGAATTGGGGGCAGTTTCTGTATCTTGCACTGTTTCTGCAAAATTTAAAGACAAATACCCGTTCGGGAGGTCTTTATAAACGAACTTAAAAATCATTAAGCGCAGAACACCTTCTCACACCCTGGTGTGTGCATGT